AAACACAGTTTTGTATAGAACAACCAATAAAAAAGTTATACAGAGAGATACACTGAAAAACATGGTAAATAACTAAAAATGTTATATGAAAGTATGAAAAATAAAACAAACACCAAAATAAACAGAAAATAAAATGTAACATAGATTTCCTTTAGCAATAATTCTCCTGATACTTTTTTCCCATTCTTCTTTTTTTTTTTTGAGACAGACCCTCAAGCTGTTGCCCTGGGTAGAGTGCTGTGGCTTCACAGCTCACAGCAACCTCCAACTCCTTGGCTCAAGTGAGTCTCCTACCTCCACCTCCCAAATAGCTGGGACTACAGGCTCCCGTTTCAATGCATATATATATCTAGCTTTGGTTGCAGCCATCACCTGGGCTGGATTTGAACCTGCCACCTCAGGTGTATGTGGCACCTTAGCCAATTGAGCCACAAGTGCTGAGCCCCCATTCTTCTTTTTATTGTTCTCGATGATTGCCTATTTCTGTTTCTTATGTCTCTAGATATGTTTCTGAATTGTATTCATCCTAAATTTTTAGAAAAACAAAGTGGCTTCTGAGAGTTAACATTGGGATCATCTCCAAGTTCTGTAGAATTACCTTTCAACCTGACTCCTAAGCATATGCCTTGGTTATTATGTTTGTCATTATCAAGCAATCTGTGAGTTACTTTCTCACTGAAGATTTAATACGTATTTTTGTAATGAAGCCACAGGTTTGTTTTTTCTCATAAATTACCTTTGGCAAGTATTGACTTTTGGACTAGAAAACCTGCTATTCTTATGAATCCTACCATTAATACTTTTTCTGGATATTCTAATGTTTATATCAACTTTAAGTAAAGAGACTTCTTTGGCTTGGTGCCTGTAGCTTAGCAGCTATGGTGCCAGCCACATACACTGGAGCTGGTGGGTTTGAATCCAGCTCCAGCCAGCCAAACAACAGTGACAACTACAACAAAAAAATAGCCAGGCGTTGTGTTGGGTGCCTGTGGTCCCAGCTACTTGGGAGGCCAAGGTAAGAGAATCCCTTAAGCCCAAGAGTTTGAGGTTGCTGTGAGCTGTGATGCCACGAGGGCGACATAGTGAGACTCTGTCTCAAAAAAAAAAAAAAAAAAAAAAGAAAAGGAAAAGAGAGTTCTGTTTCTTTATTTCTACTCCTTACACCTTTCTTCTCTTTTTTTACACATGGAAAATGTCACTTGAAAGTCTTTTATCCTTTGTATCTTTCTTTTGACATATTCCCTGCTTGGGACCTTTGGAACAATAATGACTATGATGATCAATAGTAATGATAACAGACATCCCTGTGTTGTTTTAGATTTCAAAGGGAATGTTTTCATCATATAACTATTAAATATACTGTTTGTTTTGGCTTGTTTCCCGGCAGGATACCTTTAATTAAGTTGAAAATGTTCTCCTTTATTCCTGAAGATACGTAACAATCTTAAGATTAATTATTATTACATTAAAATCACACAAGGATGTTGAATTGTATCAAATACTTTCCCTGCATGTATATAATCATGCGATTTTTCTTTTAATTCATATTCTAATATCTATATCTTTGTTGATATTTTAATCAGATTTTTCTATCAATTATTGGAAGAATTTTTTTTTTTTTTTTGGTTTTGAGATTGAGTCTCACTCTGTTCCCCAGGCCAGAGTACAGGGATGTCATCATAGCGCACTGCAACCTCATACTCCTGCGCTGAAGCAATCCTCCTGCCTCTGCCTTCCTGGTAGCTGTAACTACTGGCATGTGCCATCACTGCTGGCTAATTTTTCCACTTTTTGTAGAGACAGGGTCTTGCTCTTGCTCAGGCTAATCTCCAACTCCTAGCCTCTAGTGATTTTCCCACCATGGCTTTCCAAAGTGCTGGGATTATAGGTGTGAGCCACTGCATCTGGCCTGGAAGAGATGTTTTAACATTTCCCATTGTCAATCCTTTTAGTTCTTTAATGTTTGCTTTATGTATTTTAAAGCTGTCTTATTGAGTGATTAAAAATTATATTTTTCTGGTGAGATAAACTTTTTAATCATTTTGAAATGACCCTCTTTATCTTTGGTAGTGATCTTTGGCTTAAAAAAATCTGTCTGGCTTGGCACCTGTGGCTCAAGTGGCTAAGGAGCCAGCCACATACACCTAAGGTACCATGTTTGAATCCAGCCTGGGCCCGCCAAACAACAATGACGGCTGCAACCAAAAAATAGCCGGGCATTGTGGAGT